GGTGGTACGATGGATGTTGTCGCGGTCCTCCTCGACAACATCCATCGTACCACCATGTCTAAATGTGTCTACGGTCATCGGGCGGTTGTGTGTGTTTTTTTTCCAATGCTTTTACGGCTCCAGTCATTGATGTTCAAGAGTGGCGCATTCTTATGTCTTGGCTTGTTTCTAGTGTGCTATTCAGGGGTCGCGCTCACTGGAGCGCTTTGTGAGGATAAGGGGTGGGAGGGGAAGAGGTGGAAAAGCCATATGACAATGTCTGCGCAGGCTGGGACGAGGCGACTGGTGCGAGCCGCGATACAAGTCACGCAAGTTGGCAGGGGAAGGAAGGGGTAGGCAGGTGTTGATCTACATGCAATATGTAATGTTTGTGTATAAACATGAGCTCAGGGTAGAGGAAAGTCAAACCACGTTGAAAAGACAATGCCTAAACGGAAGTGACCATTATTGAGCTACCACGAGCATGCTAGTGAGCCCTTCCAACTATCTAGCTAAACAAGTATGAGAAACTCCTGTAAATGCAACCTGAGCTCCGCGCTCTCCGCGCTCCAAGATATGCAGAGGTGACGAAACCAAAAGGACCCTCCCAAGCAAGTCAGCAAGCAAGCAAGGAGTGTCCGCACCTGCAGTTGATTAGACAGCTCCACGTCACACAAACCTAGACATGACTTGCTCTCTCTCTCTCTCTCTCCCTCCCTAAGCTTAAAGCAGAATGACGATCAGGCAGAGCCAGCCGTCGGGGTAGGCCGCCTCGCGCATCAGTTCGTCGAGCGGGGCCGTGAAGGGCACGGGGACACCATGCAGGAGGACGTTCGCCAGCACGGGGTCCCGGCTGCTGGGAAAGAGGCTGGGCAGCAGGCTCCGCAGGGCGGGCCCAAGGGTCTGTGGAGCTCCTATGCGCGATGAACTGTTCAGATGATGTGTCCCACCTGTCTGGGTGATATGGCTGGGGAGAGGAAGGAAAGGGTGGTGTGGAGGAGGGAGGGAGGGAAGGGGCCACGGGGTGGTTTTCCTTGTTCTTTGGTGGTGGAGGTTTGGCAGACAGATACGGGCGACGTGAAACGTGAAGCCACGAGAAAGATGATACGGAGGGGAAGCAGGAAGAGTGCACTCACGATTAGCCGTCCTGGGCGCCACAAGCGTCTGCATCACCTTGAAGGAGCCTGGCGCCCCTCCTGCGTCTGGCGGTGAGGAGGGGATGTAGATGCGCAGCGGTATGTGCTTCAGCGGTGTGGGCGCATTCAGCAGCTGCGCGTTGACCTTGGTGAAGGCCACGAAGTCGTCTGGTGGGTTAGGGGACATATGTAAGTAAGACATGCCTTGAAACGAAGTGGGCTCGTTTTGCGCCCCGAGGAAGTTAAGTAGACCGCTACTTGGGTATGAGGTACCCGGAAAGTAGACAAAGTCGCAAGAAGGGATGGCGGTGGTAACTCACTGTCCTGCACGGCGTTCCATAGAGCGGTCGTATGGTCCTTGGACATGCTCATGATCTGCTTGGCGTTGCCGTTGCGTACGAAGTCGGCCTGCTCGACGTGCATATGCTGGGTTAGCAAACTGCCCTCAGCCGTGCGGAAGACCCACCAGCAGCAGCACAGGGGTGGTGCTATCCTGTCTTCCCGAGAGGACGGCCCGTTCTGCAGGCGACCTTAAGGGCGGCTGCAGGGGCTGAGAAAAGAGATAGAGAGGAAGAGATAACGCACCTCCTTGACGCCGTTGATGAAGGTGTCGGCAATGTCCCACTCGTCGCCGTCGCCAACGACAAGGCGCCAGGGCAGGGTTGGCTGATACAGGTCGACGAGGAGGCCGACGGCCAGGTTGCGTAGCTGAATCTCCTCATGATGGAAGCTGGAGCAGGGGAGGCCGAAGAAGGCGCTCAGGCGCGGTAGGAGCAGGGCGAGATAGCTGAAGCGCGGGATGGCGGCGACGAATGGGTTGTTGGGCTGGGAGGCGTGGGTGATGAGCAGCGGCACCTGAAGCGCCCACAGCGCTTGAGCGATGTTGGTGTCCCGAGATGATGATGCCGGGCCGGGGGACGAGGTCGAAGCCGGCCTGGGCGATGATGCCATGTTTGGCGGCTGGCAGGCAGGGCGTGAAGACAGATAGAGTCAGGAAGTAACGTAGACAACACCCTGGAAGCTGATCTGCAGTGATGTTCTCTCTCTCTCTCTCCGTGCAGTCGGTCTAAGGCAAGGTCGAGGGATGGCTAATGCATAACTCCCCTCATCTTCGCCGACGACTGCTGAATGGCCGCGGCCAGGGAAATCCCAGGGGCGAGGAACGGTTGTGACCGGTGTACCAGCGGAGTTGTTGTGATAGTGACGGTTTCCTGCCAGCCAGCCAGCCAGCTAGCCAGCCAACCGACGGCCAGTGTGTTTGCTTGAGGTAGCTGCCCGTGACGAGCGCCGTAGAAAGAAGCAATGCCGCCGGCGGAGTTGGCGAAGACGCGAGACGAGAGAAGGACGAGACGAGACGAGACCAGACCAGACCAGACCAGACCCGTCAAGCGGCCGAATGAATCGTGGTCACTCGTCGATGCGAGGCTGCATGTGTGTTGGTTTTGTTTGCCTTGCCGCAGCCAGGTGCGTGCGCTGCAGAAGCAAGCCTCTTCAGCTGTGTTGGTACCCCTCAACCCTACCACCACTGCTGCGGGGTGATAAGCGAGCGATAAGGGAGCTATAGCTCCCACCTCTTGCCGTTATTAGGGCCGTTAGGTCCAGGAGAGCTGTTGTGCGACGCTGTCTCTCCTCCAGCTTAGCCGCAAACGGTCTCGAGGTCAAGGCGACCGCTCAACATTACGGAGCCAGCTGCAAACACCTGGCAGGGCAGAAACGGAGTGCCTTGAACAATTGTTATCCGCGCAACACTCTTCACCCTGCAATCGCGAAGAAGACTGTAATCCTTTCGATGAAATGCCTGATTGAGTCTTCCGTCATCCTCAAGCTGCCTTGGCTGCCCGGTCGACTGTATTGCTAAGCATCACTTGGGTGTTCACCGGTGGCCGTTGCAGGTCAAAGTTGCTGGTTGAGACGCTGGCCTGGGGGGCCTCAGGGGCCCTCAGGGGGCCTGGCTCAACAACCTGTCACCAACGGCGCTCGTTGTTTTACGTCGCACAGATGGACAGACGGACAGACGTGCAGATGGGCATCGGGAAAGAACACACAGTACAGCATGGAAATGCTCGCACCATGCAGCAAAGTCACTGGCGTTTTCGGGCCGGTAACGCAATTTAAAAACGTGCTCACATGACGGCGGGCTGACTGGCAACGCTGTTGTGATACACACAGTCTCTTTGCAGCGCCTGTCACGCTCTCCCACCCCCCAATGTCCGGCAGCGCCATTACGTTGAAGGCTTACAAGAGGGGTTGCTCGAGGGTGGTAACGCTGACCGGCTCGGAGAGTCAGCGAGAAAAACCGCGTTCCGACCCTTGGAAGGAGGGGGCAAGGAAGTCCCCCGCCCGTTACGACGAGGAGGAAAAGGGCTTGGTGTCGTCGCACATGGGGATTACGGAGGGGATCACACTCCAGAACCCCTTGCTCACCGGTATCCAGGACCTGGCAAATGAGATGCCAGATCACCCACGTGGCTGGCGGCTAGGCTGGGGACCTGGACCTTGACAGAATTTGAGGCTGCGATGGGAGGGGTAGCTTGCAACCGCAACCGCAACTGCAATGCAACCGCCACCCCCATAAACAATGTCCTGGTGGAGGAGGATGGGGGATGCTTTGCTGGACTCCCATCAGTGCAGACCTCCCTAGTACTGCTGCCTGGGTGCCGGCAACCACACGATGCGCTGCCGTCAGATGTCCCGACGCTGGTGGTGTCGTAACGCCTCCTCCTCGGAGCTGCAGATGTGTGTAATGTACCCAGAAGCAGCAGCTGTGGCAAATGTACTGGTACTTGGACGTCCGCTTCGGGCCAATTCACTCGTGTAGGATTACCTGTCTTATCCAAAACTGCCTTCCCAGGAGCACTGCTACCATGGCTCTCGACGCGCATTGCATGCCATGTCTCATTGATGCGGCACGACATTGCCTCTTTCTCTTCACAGAGTCCCACACCGCCGCCATCTCGGATCAGCCAGGGGCACACAGGGCGCAGGCAGGAGCCCGGTTACGGGATCGAGCAGGGTGGTATCGGGCAACTCGGACTCGGTCGTCAAACTACGTAAATCGAAGCCGGTGAGATGCACAAGGCCGGCTGGCAACTTGTAGTAGTCTGGCGAGTAGCCAATTAATCACCCCTTCACAGTTTTACATTCAGGGAACTATGAATTAACCCTTCACTATTCGCTCATTGGCGTCTTGATAATTACAGACACGTCAGTTGTATCAATATTACGAAAACTGCCGAGGTCCACCATCTCAATAACAGAAAACGACTAGTTTGGGCTTGATATCGTGATATTTTTCTAGAATAACCTGGATTTGAGACTGGGTAAGGTGCGATACGCTCGATCATATATACACATTATGTTGGTTTACAAGGTATCATTCTGGTCCTTTGTGGTTCCCCTGCAAGAAGTCTGGCTTAGAATTGATAATCCACAATATCACACCATGTCTCCTAGTCCACAAAGTAGCTTGCTCATGTAATTAACACGAGTCTTTTCCGTCTGTGACCGGTCTCTGCTCTCGGCACTGGAGCGCACAAACTTGGGCCACGTATTCGTGAGCACGAGATGCTTGATCTCCGCCTCGGCCACGTCGAAGACCTGCGGGCCGAACGCAGCAGGCACGGGCAGGTCAGGCAAGCCGCTGTCACTGCTGCGGCTGCTGAGATCGGCCATGCGGACAACAGACTGCAGGTTTGCCTTGCCCAGCGTGTTCTCGAGCCCCGCGGGACCGCAGCCCTGCCCACCGTTTAGGTTGGCCGTCGAGCCGCCGGGCGACACGTCGTCGAAGGGCGTAGCTGACGAGACATCCGACTGCTCGCTGCGGCGCCGCCCGTGCAGCGCCTTGGCTGCGCTGTCGAAGATGCCAAAGAGCTCCTTGGCGGCCCGGGACGAGATGTTGACGGGGAATTCGGACAGATCGAGGCTGACAAAGTGCGAGTAGATCTGGACGGCACGCATGAAATGTTCGCCCACGGCTGGGGGAGATCGAGCACCAGAGGAGGAGGAGGCGGCGGCGGCGGCTTGCTTCCAGTCTGCGACGTGGGTGAGAAAGCTGACGTTCTCGCCGGAGAAATCTTTCAACGCTGCAAACTCAAGAAGGGGCTGAGGATTTGTGCGGAGAACATTCTCCAAGGCGACCATGGTCAAAATATCGGTCTTCCGAGTCTCATTAGAGCCAACATTGCTGGAGCTGGAAACTAGTTTGCTCTTCCTATTTTGTTCAGCGACCGAGGTGCTCAGGATCGAGTCCCGGTAGGTAGATCCGCTGTACCCAGCCGTCGATACGGAGTCGGGGTCCGTGAAGAGACCCCTATTTTTCTCTTCCCATGAAGCAATGGCATCAAGGGTCTCCTGACGGAGGTTGTGGGACTTGATGACCTGCGAGCAGGGGATGAAGATGGTGAACAACTCGATGAAGAATATGGAAAAGGAAAACCTGTATATGGTTACTCAGCTGGTCATGTATTATATCAGTTCATCGAATTCTTCACTCACCATTGAGGTGGCACTACAACCGCATTGGCAGGTGCCATTTCAGGTATGTACAAGGCAGCGAGCCACAACGGGGATGCTGGGAGGCTGGACAAGGTGTAAGCATTTGTCCATGTCACCATCCTCGTGAGTCTTTGAAGCAACCTACCCAGCTATACAGCAGCATATAGTTTGTATACGCCAGCCATGAGTGTCATGGATATTTCGCGTCTTCCACAACAGGTAAGGAGCATAAATCCACGCCCAGAAGAATTGCCAGACAATAGAGAGCCACCTAGATCATATTAGATTGCTAATCTTCCTTCAAGCATGTAGGTAATTGACGAACCACTCCCATCCTGTCAGACACAGGACCTTCCTCTCCTCTGTTCCAGGTACTTCGACGTGGAAGATGCCGTAACTTGGATGAAATATCTCGGAGCCGAAGTAGATGAAGAAGGTAAGTAACAGCTATTCAATATAAGTCAGTATATGTAGTTGAAGCACGAGGGCTATGGATCTGGCGCTACTTACCTCAACTACCATCGCAATCCCAATGTAGATTACAATCTTGGTTGTCCTGTCCAGCGCGGAGACTCTCTCGAGTGTGCGTCTGAACCAGCTTTGCGAAGAGTTGACCCGGTCCGTCTTCTCAGGCAGGGTACTGCTGTCGAGGCTGGTTACACGGGCATAGCGCCGTTGCTGGCTCGCCACGTGGAGAAATTGACTGTTGGCAGCTTGCAACAGGGCCATTCCGAATGGAAGGTATATGCTCATGACCCAGAACTGGACATCACAAGGGATGAGACTGCCGATGGTAAAGGCGATCATTGAAGCGACGCCGTACAGGTGTAGCAGAACGATAGCACTGAAGACCAGCGGCAGCCTGCGAATGCGGAGGAAGGGAAGCTTTCTATGTCGGTGCAGAAAGAGCATTCCGGCCACGAGAATGACCGTCCATGCTATTGTCAGGGCATTGTACACCCAGCCCAGGGTGGTGACAGTGATCTCTCGAGACATCGCTACTGAAGCCTTGCTCTCTAGTCACAAGTCTATTGGGCTTACCAAAGTTTCATCCCACAAACTCAAGGAGGGTAATCAACGTCGACGGAGGACTGGGAATCTCGTTCTTGTAGGCGTAGCCATGGAGGCCAACGGCACACTTCGCGCCATCACCGGTAGAGAGGAGAAGGGTCACGCAGGTGTCGCCTTGGGATGAGACATGCGTTAGGGCACGCGGGGAGGCGCGTTGTCGCCGTTCAGCTTCAGCTAGCATTGTCTCTTACTCTCGAGGACTCCAGTAATAGTTTCAATGCTGTTAGTCAAGATTGGCTGGTTCATGTCCACAGATCTGCAGAGGATCATCCGGTAGGGGAATGATCGCCAGGGACTAGTCGAGGGTTGCGATCTCTGCCCTTGTGGGTTGCGCCAAGTGCCGCCTCGTGGGGCACCGTTGCTTTTGCAAATGCTCTGTTCTTATCGAGTACAGATCGCAGCCTGCATGGACAGCAGGCTCAGGCATGGGATCCATCTATCACACACTTCAGATCAGCAATATTGGCCGATGATCGTGCTTTCTTACTAGGCCCGGCACTTGAATGTTGAGAGAATCCGAAATCACATCATCTACACAAGAACGCTAGAATGAATGAAAGTTTGGTGAGATGCTCGGTCCTCGGATGATTGCTGCCCCAGACAACCTTCAAGTTGATAATACTGTGGAGCTTGCTATCGCGAATCTAGCGCCGGAGGTAGATAGCGTATACCCCAACCTCTTCTTTCGACCATCCTATTGTGTTTGCAACAAACGACAATACCATTATCCAGTGCAAACTGGGAATAAGCCTCAAGTTCTTTTAACTTTGCATCTCGTGGTCACTAGTCAAGTGGCGCCTATCAGGGGTAACCGGTTGCCCTGTGACATAATATGCATAGAGGACGGAAAATACTCACGTTGAAGTTCCACTCCTGGATATCAACGAAGCCCGATTCCTCCATAGGCTTCCTTTGTAACCCGTCTCGTACGACAGTGAACGTCTGGTTTGAATGTTTCCACCCTCCACAAAGAGCTTGCCCCACTGGCCATGGCACTTGTCTCGGAAAGGCTGCCGCCCTCGTTATTACAAAGGGCGATGCCTCGTAACTCTCAAAGTAGCCGCCGGGTTTGGGACACCTGAAAGCATCCTTGGCGAGTGCAACCCAGTCACCGATGCTCCCAAGCAGAAAGCAGATAACGTGTATGGACAAAGTCTATGGAACCAGTCGCATATGTCCAGCGTTGCTTACAGTCATCAATTTCACTCTACAAACAAGGTAACGGCAACCCATTGCTATGAGTCGGGCTTTCAATTTCAAATTTGGCTGCACGCAGCTTGACTGGATCGGCGAGAGGTCTGCCCCAACCACTTCACAATCGGGATGTTTGTCGCCAAAGTCACTGGTCGCCATTATCGGAGGCACGCCTAGCGAATGATGATTTTACTTACATAGCCCATATTCCAGTTCCGGTACCGATATCTAGCGCTTTCTAGGAGAATTGTAAGTATCCACGAAGCTTAGGCTAGACAGCACGCAGTCGAGTGCAGACCTGTATGATGTCTGCCAATGGGGCAAGTTGGAGCTTGCCGCCCAAGCAGAGCGTCAGGACATGATGACTACCAAAGGTTGACATCTCGATCGATATCAATGTGGACCTTGCAGTACAATTTACATCAGGTCTAACGTCTCACTCTGTTGTTCATCGTTTGATGCCCTTGCGGAAAAGCAACAGGAAATAACGGCCGATACAAGAGAGCTATTATCTACCAATACTGCGTGATTCCCTCTCGCCATGATATGTTTATACAAGCACCGTCCGGTACTTGAGTAAGCTCGAAGTAACCGATGCCGTAGAGCTAGTCGCCTCGTCGCCGACTGAAGAGTCGGTATCATCGTAGTCATTGGCGGGCGGCTAGTTCCTAATTACCAGCATTTTCCCGACAAGTAACGATCAAGAGGAGCACAGTTCATGCACGAACCAATTCGGCTTGCACCCAATGCTCACCCGGAAGAACGCCGGTCGGGCTGACGGTAGCCGGGAATGCGGAAGAGGATGCCATGCTGGTGGATGACCCGGCGCTAACGTTAGATTGCTCCTTCTCGGCGACGGACATCGTGGCTTGGGGACTTTCGGCTGGGATTGTTGGATCGGGTGGAGTACTTGTATAAAGTGAATCATCGCAGCAATTGGATTTCTCCACTTTGGACCAATCCCCGGCTCGTCTATTCCTGCTCACATGATTCATTGTTATTCCATTTCGGTCTCTAGGCTATTGCGGGGATGATTGTTTGAGATGGAAAGTGCCAATACTTCTTGTAAAGATGTGGCTTTAAGGGGGTTGAAAATTGAGATGTGATAACCCCCTGTTGAAAAGCCAGAAGGATCAGCGTTGCAAAAGTCGATGAGAAATAGCATTGGAACATTCAGTCTCACATAAAAGGAACAGGGTTGTGTGTGAAGATAACTTCTCCGTCATGTCATTAAATTATGCTATTAATACAGTCTGCCCATAGACAATGTCCGAACAACCATTTGGCAATTCCAATTTCATCAATCATAGCCCCCGATGAGTCTCCTGGTGAGAGGCCGACTGGTGTCGACCAGCTCTGTCGTGGTCATGAGCATCATGCTCAATTGTTGGGCCACCGACTGCCTGTCGTAGAACAGAGGGAGGTACCTGAGCTGCATCGGTGGGATCTTTGTTGTAATTTGATCCAGATCTTTTTTCTCGTTAGATAATGAAATTGCTGTCATGGTACACCCACGAATCTGGGCTTGACTTACTTACTGATAGGTCCGGTTACCGCCTAGAGTCTTGGAACCGTCAAGGTCGGAGTCAACTCTGGGGTCAACCTTGTTGGCCATGTCAGACTTATGAGGGCCGGCAGTGTTGGGTGCAGGTCCAGGGCCGTTGTGAACGCCCCGATGATCGCGGTCAGAGTCCACGCGAGGATCGGCAGCATTGCCTACACGACTGCTATGTGGGCCGTGAGTCCCCTCAGGATCGTTGTAGCCGGTAGTTTTTGAGCTTCCGTAGCCCGCGCCGGTGCCAGTGGTACCAAAGGCGCCACCTCCAGCTGTATTGCCATAACCTCCTGTTCCACGGTTGTCACGGTCAGAGTCAACACGGGGATCAGCAGCGTTTGCGACACGGCTTGAATGAGGGCCATGGGTGCCTTCAGGATCGTTATATCCCGTGGTATGTGAGCCTCCATATCCAGCTCCAGCTCCTGTGATGCCAGCACCAGTGGTACCATGAGTGCCGTGAGTTCCACGGTTGTCACGATCAGAGTCAACACGAGGGTCGGCAGCATTGGCCAAACGGCTAGAGTGAGGTCCGTGAGTTCCCTCAGGATCGTTGTAGCCGGTAGTCTTTGAGCCGCCGTATCCAGCGCCTGCTCCTGTGGTGCCAAACGCTCCGCCAGTTGTTCCGTGGGTTCCGCGATTGTCCCGGTCAGAATCTACACGGGGGTCGGCAGCATTGGCAAGACGGCTGGAGTGAGGTCCGTGGGTGCCCTCTGGATCGTTGTAACCAGTCGTTCTTGAGTTTCCGATACCAGCGCCGGTACCCGTTGCACCAGTGCCAGATCCGTACGCGTAGTTATCATTACCACTGTAGCCACCGGTGTGCGTGGTGGGGTTTGCGCGGTGGTCACGGTCAGAGTCGACACGAGGGTCTGCTGTGTTGGCAACGCGGGAGCCGTAGGGTCCGCTGGTACCCTCGGGTGCCTCGTGCTTGGAGTCGCTATGCAGAGCGTCCTTGACCTTGTTGACGATGGAAGACATAATGGGTAGTTGTGATGTTGGGTATCAAGGGGTATCAAAGTAGGTTTGGTAGGTTTAATGGTGTTGTAGGATGTTGAGTTTGAAGATGAGAGAATAGTAAGACTGAGAAAGTCGAAAGGCCTTGCCGTCTTATATACATTTGTAGTATTACTGTTGCGGAGCTGAAGAGCCTCGAAAGTGGATAGGGCTTTCCAGCTCCGTCATCAGTGATCTGAATCCACTCGGATCTAACGCAAGGCATGGCTGGAATATCGAATTGAGGCAGCTGCATCGAATTCTACTCAGAATACGACCCGGATGAGGAAAGAGCCAAGCAACCAACAGCCCCACACTCTTGCCTGACGAAGGAAGGCTCTTACTCTAGCCACAGAGTATTACGCCCCAAGTTCGTCATAACCATGGTCATGAGAAGGGTTATCCATGAAGACACAAACGACGGCGTAGCTCTTCCGGAGCTTGGTACGGGTAAGCTGCCTCGAGGCTGCCTTGGTAGCTCCAGGAAAGCCCGGGCCAATACTCTATTTTCGTTGGAGCAGACGATCTCTAGCAGTCCCTTAACTGGGCCCACCTCCACTCGGAGACGATTCTGACGCTAGAAACACGAATGGATGACAATTGACAAGACCCAGAATCAAGAACGCGACGGCGGCTGGCGTCATAAGACCCAATGGCAAGTACCGAGTGGGCCATGGAATCTTCGACTGTTGATCAGGTACTTGGTGACGTTCCAGTGCGGTCCGTTGGGACGGCGAAGGTGGATCCAGATCGCTTCAAGGTTCGCCTGGACGGCTCAGACGGCTCTTTCACAAGCTGCCGTCAGGAGCACGACATCTTCGACATTTTCGTCTTGAGCAAAGCGAGCAGGGGGAGCAAGGTCAGCAGCCGGTTAAAACACTCCAAACAGCTCCAAACGGTGCACGTGGACTGCTTCTGGCACGGAAAATCAAGGTTACGGGCCATTGATAGGTGAAGTACCGTTTTACGGGAGAGAAAAGCCATCGTTGAACAGAGTACACAAATCGTCATAGACTGAGGCTGATCTTCCTTAGCTTCCTTAGCTTCCGGCATAGGTGTGGCGAGTAATGCATTGAATTTGTGGCTGGTGAGGGGTAATTTGTGGCGTCAGCTTCTTACCCCACAATTCCGATCAGCCGTTTACCCATCAGACGCCAACGTCATACTCCATTTTGAATGCCTGTTCCCTTCCCGCCAAGATAACTGGTCTCCTGCCATTACGCCAGACCAGGCCAGACCAAGCCTTGGAACTCTTCAGGTGGCGGTTTCAAGGATGTTCGGCTCGCTTGCCAACAGATTCAACAAGGGAGACGTGGCTAGTGCTCTCAGGTATTTTGTTATCTTGGCGCTGTGACGTGATACTTTCTCCATCAAGATCCCTTGTCCATGTTGTAAGGGATTCACGAGCTCGAGGTGGTGTCACCAGCCACAGCTGATGTGGCTTTTGTCCTCGCGATCGATGTGTTAGTTCAGCCTTATCACAATCTAACTTTGTCTCTAGTTGCCCAGAAGTTCGATATCGCGTGTGATCAGAATAGACCCCTATGAATGTTGTTTGCACGTAGCACTACAAGCGTATTGCCCTGGAAAACGGATGTTGCCACTCCAAGTCGGGCTTTACGAGACACTCAGCGAACAAAGAAATTAAACGTTGCGGACAATACTTGGCACATATAGAAATCCCATATCAAAGTCCAGATCGTTTTTGATGCATTTTTTGATTGGTAATAGAGCAAAATGAGATAGTACAGGTATGCGTAGCTAGTAAGGGTATCAGACTCCTGTGGAAAAGGTGTTATTTCACCCTTTTCTCAAGGTTGGTATCGCAGTTTCGTGCCATCGTCAAATTCATAACCCCTTCCTGAAAAAGCAAATACGGTAAATATATTAAGAGCCAACCACCAAATAATGCTTTAGTCATGTATGTCCATCAAGGACTACGAAGAGAAGTGATTTCGGTGACTGAGAAACCAGATTAGGGTAAGAGTCGCGGTCTGATGATTTCCGAATGGTGTGTGAAGTAAGTAATCTCTTATATCAAGTCGAGCTCAGGTGATCGCATCCAGCATGAGGATAATATTGATCTGGCTAGCGGGCACACTCATTCTTTGCCTGAAACAGCGCTCTTAGACGCGAGATCGGTACCAGCGGCGGCGGTGAGTAGTGCGAGCCGGGGCAGCAGTGGTCCTGTGGCGGCGGACCCAGTAGATGCCGAGGAGCGCGGAGACGAGCCACAGGATGGCGCTGAGGAAGGCAAAGGCCTCATCAGCCTTCCAGGTCGAGCAGTCGTTGTGGCCGAAACCGACATTGCTCCAGTTGAAGGTGGAACCGCAGGCGTCGCCGAGCCAGTCGACGATGAGGCCGAAGGCGACGAACCAGCAGATAGAGATGATGAAGTCAGCTGGCCAGTGAATGAAGCTGCCGCTGAAGGGGAACAGCCAGATGATGGACAGGAAGATGGACAGGCCGGCGACGACCTCGGTGTAGATGAAGCGACCCAGTTGCCAGGAAGAGGCACCCTTGGCATCGTGCAGGTACTTGCCGGTGAGGCCAGCGACGATGGCTGCGAAGGCCAACTATGGATGGAGTCAGTACACTGTCTCGATATTATCTCATTTAAGTACAAGGGTCACTTACCTCCGCAAGGCGGAGAATCATCGAGAACAGATCAGCTAGGATCATTTTGGCGGTTGGGTGGCCTTGTGTGGCTTTGGGTTTGAAAGGTGGTTGGTTGGAGTGCTGGAGGTGATCTGAAACCCTGGGGCAGACGATGTGCGATCCGCGAGATGGTTTTCTGATTGATGAAGGGAGAGGGCAGAAGTGAGATGGATGGTATGGACAGTATTTATTCACGAGAGGGACAGTCCGTCATGGGCCAGTCATGGTCAAACCCGGGCTTGGTCGCAGGCAAAGGAAATTGGGAGTGATTCGTCGCGAGGCAATCTAAGTACAGACCTTGGAAATCCACCAAGGTATAGCTACCTGAAAACACGCGACTTACACGATCAAGGGCCGTGTATAGGCTTACCAGGGACGTAGCCTGCTCTGCAAATTTACGAGATCACCCAAAACAAACATGGTGTCGTGCCTGTCTTACCCAGGCAAGCACGGCCGCGATACGTCATTGCCTCCTGGGACGCGCTTTCCGCATGGAGGGAGGTGAGTTGGCTGACTCCTTTGTCTGCCCATTTCCCATTCAGATTGCGGTGTGAAGCATGCATTTCTCCCTGACCAACAACCAACACCAGGCCCCCAACGCCGACAAGGGTCACGGCAGATGCTTTTTTGGCGATGTACGTGGTCAGTGGGCTGCTCATCTCCAAAGGATGGACGTCATAAGGTCATTACACCAGTGCGTCCGAGCTTGTGGCGTCATAACCAACACCTAATAGGCCGGTAAGGTGCTGAAAGCACCCTGATCCGGCCCTGTAGTGGCTGGAGCCTTCTGAAACGGCACTAAATCTCCACAGAATAAGCGACATGCACATGCAGATCCACCACTTTGACCACCACCCATGCCCGTATAACTACTGTATGTACGCCAGAACCTGATAGCAGCCCTGTAAGGTTGACCAAGGTAAGGCATCTCTTACATCTTGAATGGCGGCGAAATGTCGAGAATGATCTCCCTGAAGCCCCTTGCTCTACTACATCCTAACAAGACTCGTTGCGTTCACAACGGGTAGATTGAGCCTATGAAACCCTCTCCCGACAGGATCGTGATACTTGTATAGCAATTTTGCATTATTCCGCGAGATCTCGATGGCCGGCAGTGAGCGTAGACAAATGGCGGTAGGTCGGCATCAAAGAAACCGTCACGAGAATGCCGAAAAATTCCAAAGAGGCAATGGGAGGTGTGGCTCAAGTGGCTGAAATGCCCATCATTGCCCGACAGGGGCACAAGAGCTCCAAAAACCTGTTGTCGCGGGGGGGCGGATCGCCTGTGGCTGCCGGCAGGGGGGGGGGCAATCAGGGCGCGTCCTGCCCGTCCACTCGTATGGGAGAATCGTGAGCTTTTGACATCATCTCTCATTCCTCCCCCGAGCTCCTCGATTTACCGCTCATTTCCGCTCTAGACGATGCCTGCACCTGCATCGGATGAACTACTTTCTGGGGGTCGGCGGTGAGGTTCTCAAACCGTGGCTTGCCTCTCGGATGTCCCTGCCGATGTGCCCTCGCCGTTGAGCCTTGGCATTCATCGTGAACTGGGATTCGTGATCTTGGATAGAACATGTACACATGCGTCATCCTTGGCAGCCCCCAAAACGAGTACAGAGCCTCACCTTGTATGTACATCACGGGCCACCAAGAAGCTCCCGACTGGCTTTGCAAAGGGCTACTAGGCTAATAGGCTCCGGCGAGTGGCTCTACCCGATTACTTGGTCCAAGAATCCGATAGATCAAGTCTCTTAGCGAGCAAAAAGATTACATGTTTCCATGGAAGGAGGACCTGCATGACGATGGTGATAGATGTAGACATCACATGTTTCATTACTCATTCATAAATAACCTTGCTGCAAGCTGGTACATGATGCATGTATCCGAAGCATTGCGTACCTGACGCCTCTATTCCCATCTTTGGGACCCTTCCAAGGCACAATGGAACCGGTGAACATATCAGGTCTTCGAGGTGTTTCCTACTTCGCTCTTCGCCGTCTGAGATCCTGCTGCCCCCGACGAGCTCTTGGTCTTGCGCCGCGTGGGCTGGTATACGTCGTTGAAATTCATGGCAACACCGAGGAATCGCATGTCCACATCCGGCTGGTAGGCTAGGTCGCCCAATAGCATCTGCAGACGCGTGCGGAAGCTTGAGCCGAGCTGCTTCAGGCGGTCTTGTAGGGCCGGCAGCTCGGATGCCACGATGTTCTCGCCCGTTGCCGACCCTGGCAGGGCGCTGAAGACGTCGTCGGCTTCCAGTGCTGGCGTCGAGGGCTTGGACAGGCCACCCTTCTTAGGAGATCGCGGTGCAGTCGAGTATCGCGCGTCTGCTTCCTGCCGCCGTGCCCAGTCCGAAACAGACCAGGAGTACAGACCGTCGACGGACTCGCGGTACGACAGCATCGTCCGCAGCAGCTCGCCGAGCTGGACCATGTAACTGTTCCTGTCCTCCACCTCAGTGATGCCCATTGCCGCCGCAGCAGCAACTGCCTCATGATGCTGCCTTCGTCGAGCACCCAGAAGACCCTTATGGGTGATGCTGCTTAGGTAATTGGTGTGCGCCTTGATCAAGTCATCTAGGGTACAGTCGTCCTTGTTGATACCTTTCTGTAATTGCTCCCAGCTCGACTCAATCACCTCGAAGAGGATGTAGTACTGTAGCTGGCCAACAAAATGTATCATCTCGGCAAGAACGCCACGCGTGAGCTTCCAGGTCTGCAGGACGCCATCGTCTGAAGTCTGCAGGACGCTACGAGCACCCGTCATGCACTTTCGCCAGGTCGAGGCCAATGCAAACTCGACGCGCTTGATGCGCCAGAGAAAATTAAAAACCTTCAGGTATTGCCTGTTGCCCCATTCTGTGACCACGACATCTGTCGGCGCATCGACCTTGTACTCCAGAGTGAAGCAATCCCAGCCGATATCGCCGTGGGATAGCTGGAGCATCCGAGCGTCGAGACGGCGCAGAACCTCTGGAGAGTCGTACTGTGCGTTGGAACCGCGAATAGCGTGCTCCAACTGTGCTGTCAAGGTGTGTCGGTATTGTGCGCCAGCAGGACGATCCAGATTGGCAGCCAGGGACTCCATAAGCAGGGCGATGAAATCGCCTTGGCCCAGCAGAATATAATTCTTGAGCGCCTTGAGATGCTCGAAGAGATGGAATTTGTTCGTCATTAGGCCCATGAGACGTTTCATGGTGGTCTTATACGCTTCATCGATCCACGTCTCTAGCGTGGCAGTATCGCCATAGCGAAGCTCCTTGGAGGATGATTTGGAATATTCCTCAACCCATTGTGAGTCTCCACAGCTATGTCGGATGAAATTGAGAGATTTCCCAATCAGAAAAACCTTCTGTGCAAAATCGTTCGTGATTATAGTTGGTATCATGTCTTTATCGATCTCATACTTGTCGTTCCAGACGCTGCTTTGACCTCTGGATTTGAGTTCTTGTCGCTCTTTGCCAGCAGGATCTTGCTCCTTGACAAAGAATTCTTGGTATGGATCCTGGAGTTCTCCGTCATAGATCCAGTGTCGGAGGATATCATAGAACGGTCTAGTGACTGAGCCCAATAGCCTCTCTGCAAAAGCACCGACGATTGGGTCGCCGTGTGATGACGAGAATCCATGAATGAGGGATATGAGTGGCCCGCCTCGTTTGCTCTTTGACTCTTCAGCAATCAGACTCATGAGACGCAGGCCCATTGTAGCCTCTCTTGTCCAGACAACACATCGCTTAAGGGTTACGCCCGCCTTGCCTATGCCGCTTCTCGGGGCACTTTCGTCCAGGGAAGACAATGCACGACGGATCTGGCCCTCTAACGTTGCAACTAAGCTGAGATAGGACCGAAGCTCGCCGTTAATGGCAGCCCGCAGACTCTGATCTAGAAGTCCTCCAGTAGGAGTCTTCACCCAAGAAGATAGTCTTCTGTATAGCAATGATGGCTCTGCTAGCGTGTGGAGAAGGGAAATTATAGGGGACGGAAGAGTAGATGGTAATTTGAGTGTGGTTTCTTTTGAGAAGGGTAGAGTCGCAGATGAAAGCCCCTGCAATGTGTAAGGCAGGTCTCTCAAGAGAGCCGTTTCGGGAGGGTTGATTTCCACGTAATTGTCGGCAAGTAGGGTGGATTTGAGCGAGACATCCCGCTTATGACCCGTGTCTCCGTCCGAGCCAGGACCCTGTTCATCCTCCGGGCCTTTCTTGGCCTCCTTCGGAGGGAACTTCTTCAGACCAGCTGGCTGAAACGCATCGTTGAATGCTTCCTCTTCTTGTCTTGATTTAGGTCTTATTTCTTTGGCAGATCGATTCTTTTCCGGCCGTCGGAATGCCTCGCGCTGCACAGGCTGCCGTAGAGGCGCAAGCGGCAGAGGTTCACTAGGATCTGGTGAATCGGCGAGTTGATACAGTAGATAAAGAATCGCCCATTTTTGGTTCAATACTGGAAGTGATAGAAGGCGTGTGTATAGGTTGGAGAAACGAAGTGCTTGGCTCGGGTTGCTTTGTATGAGCTTTCTCTTAATCAGATCAGAGGCATGGTTTACGTCTGATGAAATGGCGGGGGAGATGGGACTACGGGTACGAGTATTTAGTATACAGACACTATATGATCGATAATCTTTTTGAAGGTTGGCTTACCTATCCAGAATTGTCTTGACGAGCTCGAAGCAATTGTCATGTCTTTCCTGCGCCGCATCGTCACCTTCCTCGGGGTCGGTGGGGATGATGTGGGCGATTAGACTGTCGATGGCATTGTAGATTCGATTCTCGCGTTCGTGAGACATGGTGGCATTGTTGCAGTAAGGCTCGATGGGGCTGACACACAATCTATTGTCTTTACTTATGTTTGTTGACTAGGGTTCGTTGACTGCGGCGTTGTCGAGGTTGAAATCGACCCTTTGCAGCGACTTTGGCGGGGACGCGACTATTTACGCGACGGCCTGGGCAGTTTTGATAATGCAGTGTGCAGACACTGGAGGCTTAGGGGGTAAAAGCGGCTGGGGATAGGTAATGGGTACTTGAGAATGTATGGCGTTGTGTGGCAGAGCGAGGTACCCACAACTTAGCGCATTCAGCAGCACACTGACACTCCGTCCTCTCTTGTCGGGCTCCGCAAATTTCAACTACAACCGAAACCCAAAGCCAACTTCCACCAGCTCGCAAGGCGACATTGAGGCATCTGTTCGGCCGCCTCACCATGCCATATCCATCAATCTGACCGCGGAAACGTGATCGCATAGATCCGGCCGTTCGTTTCATGCGCCCATGATCCTACTTTCGCGTCGCGCTGTGCCTTTCCTTCGCGCGCGCCATCTCCGCCATCATCGCCAGAATGCCCGACATCAACCCCGCTGACCTAAGCCGGCCGGCCATCAGTCTCTCAACTCCCATTCTATCAACAAAATCCATCACCGTCTCCGGCCCGGCGTTACAGAAAGCTCCCAAAACCTCCCAGATCATCCCCGCCCGAATTGACCTCGAACCTATCTATACCGCTCTCAAGGCCGCCATTGGCGCAGAGCAATGGGCTGCTTACAAGGAGGCGACTACCCAGTTCTTTCTTGGTCAGTTCCATCAGCATTTCCAACAACTGCATCTAGCCAACAACTCAACTAACTCTTCGATGCAGGCCGTCTTAATCAAGCCGAGTTTTCAGAACGTATTGATCCCATTATCACATCTCCGAATGGCGAAAGAGAGCACTTGCACAACCAGCTTATTTCGGCGATATATGGCAATGTTACCCGAGAGATGCCCGATCAGGGCTTGGCCCCCTGGGTCAGTGCCAACGACAAGCCCTCAAGTGGAACCGGCAGCAAGCCCATATCTGGGGATGCCGCCGAGCGAAGGTTGAAGGGAGATGTAATGCAATTGCCTAGCCGGGATCGGAGGCGCATCAAAGATCTCGTTCAGAACGATGTGAGTAGAGTATAGCCCATCTCACAAGACCATTCAGCTCAGAAGTGACACTAATGCTATTCGAAAAGTTTGACCCATACGAGTCGCTCGCCAATGTCTTCTCAGAGCATCACAAGGCGAAACCTGCTAGGGTCACGGCGGATGTACCACCAAGCGCAGGTGGCCTAAACAGAATGAGTATGTAATGTCTAAATCTCCATGATGATCGATGTACTTACCCACTGATAGACTTTGACTTGGAAATTCGAAAACGATATGCACAACCTTTGGCAGTGGAATCTGGAGAGTTTCCCGATGTTACTAATATTGAAGCACGCATGCTTCCTCTTTGCTATGAAGCCGGATTAGCATCTGGCCATGCCCAAGATGCAGCTCAACTCATATCCGTTGCAACGGAATCTTTTATCAAGGAGGTTCTTTCTTCGATATTTAGCCGAACTCGAAGCAACGGTCCAGGAGAGTCTGGGAGCGCTGGATTCGGCAATAATGCTTCCTGGGTTCAGACACATAAATACAAGCGTCAATTGGCCAAGGAAGAAGAAGCCGCACTGCAAGGCGAAATCACACGAGACAAGGGCGGCTTGTTACCGATCGAATCAAAGGCTGCCAGTGAACGTGGCCCGCTTGGGATGGCTGACCTACGGCTGGCGCTGGAGATGGGTGATTGCGGACTGTCACAATTCCCCATCATCAGTAAGCAGATATTGTATAACTTCCGAGAAGGAGAGTTGGAGAATTGGGACGACTACACATGGCTTGACGGCCGAGAGTCAAGTGTTGACAAGGATGGGATTACTGCAACGACAGCCACCAACGGTGACCAAAAGCAGATCTTACCTAATGGTATTGATCATGCTGATCAGATGGATATTGATGAAGAGATCTGGTGGGAAGGTGCAGAAGAACAGGATATGGATTTCCTTGATGGGGTCCTTGATTCTTGCTTAGCTGTAGGCTGAGCCGGCGAGATTTGTGGCCAATCTGGCTTCTTTGGATGAGGCAACAGACTGGAGGAAAATTTTCTTGGATGGCGGCGGCGTTGAAAACGGGTTTCAACCGGCACATTTGCATTTTAGCATTGGCATTATTTGAGGCGTACGCAGGGGCTTCTAGTGCCGTTTGCAACGGACAATGTACACTCCTCCGTACGGATCCAGGATGGATATTGTATATCTGGCGTCGCTAGGTGGATATGTGGTTGTTGGGGAGGAGGAATCATGATGTATTTATATGGAACGATACCCTGAGGCTCCTTAACCATGGGGGCAAGTATTACAGTAGCGCTGGTAGATCGTCAATACCTGCAGGTAGCAGCATATACCAGACATCAGAAAATGAAAGATGTGTCTACATTTACAGTGGATCCTGGGTGAATTTTGACTTGTGAAATCATGAAAAAAAGTCTGGTTCACATTACCACTGCGCCAGCTCCGCCCCAGAAGAGGTCACAGGCCAGGTACCTCATCGGGGGCTTCCTGGTACCAGAGATAGTTGCCATGTAAATCTGGCGAGGATTGAAGACATAAATCATTGACACAATCTACATGCCCAAACATGAAGGAATATTGAACTCCAGCTTCTTAGATATCCTTCTGGCTCCGTCTGAGCAACCTTACGCTTTGCGATCCCCAGTATGAAAGGCCCTGAATCTGATCACTCAGATCTGCAATACTGCGAAAAACAGCCTGCTCTGGGAAACGGAAAAAGTTTATATTTTCCCGACATTATATTCTTATACGGACTTTCGATAACCCAGGCCCTCACCACGACCTGGTATCGCACGAGGCGATGTTCTAAAATGTCCGAAGAAAATACACCAGCCTTGGCTAGATCGAGTGTGCAACCTCATACTGGTCTTCTCAGAGAAGAGACGTTGGTTCTGCGACAGCTCTTAGGCTATGGAAGTAAGGTAGAGGCTTTCCCAAGCACTGTTGAGCCGGAGATCGGTGTCAGCCTCAGCGAGTCTTCATTGAGAGACGTATTGCTTGTCGGTTTCGATGCCGACACATTTCAGGGCTATGAAAGGCTTGTTGAAGACCAACAAATACATGTGGGGATATCCATCCTTGATACTCGACGCCTGCAAGAATTACTACTCGCTACTTCGTCGATGGCGACGGAGCCATCACAACTCATCAAGTCGTTTCAGTTCACCATTGGGGACTCGGCATACTGCCAGAGAGCATCAAGGAAATTTATGTTTGGAGATTCCAAGTCTGCAGCAAATACTTCTGAACTAAAGTCGATGCTGGAGGCTGTTATAGATGACAGGGATGTAGTGCTTGTTATGCACGGCACCGACTCCGACCTAAAGATGCTCCGAAATCTTAACATCAATCTTCGGACGATTTATGTTATCGATACGAATAAAGCGGCTCAGAACCCTCTGCAATTATCATATCGCTATGATCTAGAGACGTTGCTCGAAAGTCTAGAGATACCCTATGCTGCACTACATGCTGCTGGGAATGACGCTCGATTTTCCCTACAAGCACTACTTATGCTCGCTGTCAAAGACGCCGAGCGGCGCCCAGACGCCTCTACCTCTAACGAATCGCTTTTAAGGGTACTAAGGTCCGTCGCCCAAGCCCCAAGGCCTCCAACGGCGGCGGAACTGAAGGAAGTGGGGGATGCGGCCAGACGAGAGGCGAAAGCAGCGAGCAAGGCCCGACAAAAGGCGAGACGTGCAGCCAGAAAGGAGGCAAGGCGGGTAGAGCGAGAAGGTAGAGAGGCGGATACAGCTTCGATCCATGACAGCGGCTCGTGAAGCTGAACATAAGAGTGCTGCGGACCTGGCCTTCGAGGTTTTGATAGAAGAGAAGGTCAAGTCAGGAGACCGAATCCCGATAATAGGAGCGATTCATGTCAAAAAGCCTTGAATCTATCTAAATGGGTGCTTTCATCAGAGGCAAAACGAAAAATTCCCATGTGATTAGCCATATACTCCTATGTATGCAGGACTACGAAAAGAATTGTCGCCGCAAAGTTCATCATTGTTGATTTTCATGTGCACAAGCAGCGGATTGCCGATACTGTGCGGTGTCAGGTTAATATTGCTCTGTAGACTTTTCGGCTTTGTAGACCTGTTGCAAGAGTAATGCTTGCTGTGATCTCATCTATTGCTGTTTGACAGAGAGACAACAATGCTAGAATTGAGAGTTAAAGCTTCTCGAAAGCAAAGCAACCAGGGCTCAAAAATTCTCGATTAGGTCACATCAAAGCCCGCCTCTTCCATCAGACTGGTCTGCATATGGCTTAATCCATCGGAATTTGCTCAGATTAGGTTCACAGAGATAATTCAGGTGGCTGGGAGGTGCGTGTGGGCAGATGTTACACCTCCACCAGGATAATAAGCGTTATTTCAGCGAGTTGAATTTACCAGAAACCAGGGTTGAGAAGACCCGATTGGGGCTTCGAAGATTCTGTTTATTTCTATAGCCTCGCTGGTCTCGATTAAAGTAGCAACTCTCTTGTCTGAAAAGTCGCGATTCTCACTCAGAATTAACGTTTATTATCCAGGCGGAGGTGTACAGTGGGAGCTGGCAGTTTGGGTGGTCTGTGCGGGTAGTTAGAGATCCCACTTACACGCGACGCGCCTCATCGCGACCGCGTCTTCACAAAAGCTCCCCACGCCCAACCTAGCCACTCTAACCACCCCATAAAGCCCTTTTTGAAGAAGCATATTTGTCTCTCCAGTTATCATGTTGCAGTGGTAATTCATGTCTTTATTTTAGTATTCTTCACCAATTGAGAGCCACAATGGCTTCTTCCAGGGCATCATCCCCCGCAAGCAACGCTTCGGATAGCAAGTTCGACCTCTCGCCACGGTCGAGGCTCAAGGCTCTGCTCGCTACAGTTGGCAGCGACTCGGAGGGCGACAATCCCAGCCCAACGAAGAAAACCCAAGCCGAGAAGACGACTACCATACGAACCAATTCTCCTGATCAAACTGCTGCGGAAAGCAGCGAGGGCGACGACGATGATGAGGAGGATATAATTCGCCCGAGGGGCCGCCTTGCTGCCCGGATGTTAGGCATCAATAAAACAGTTGACGAAACTCAATCGGATAAGCAAGATGACCCTCGAGAACGCGTCAAAAAGATGCTTCAGAAGGCAGCCGAACCGGCAGAGAAACCTCAAACAACCGAGGAAGTTGACATGGCGGACGCGGAGGACGATGCGGACGAGCTCCCAGTGCACCGGAGAAAGCTCAAGAACCGACAGCATCGCAGCACAACACCTAGGGCAGCAACTCCTGCGAGATCACCCACTCCAGCTCCCAGCCTTTTCGTGACGCCAGATAAGGCTGGCTCTCCATCTCAGCGGAGCCAGGCCGACGAGCAAAACGATGACGACTCAGATGTTCCTGCCATTAAAAGTGACCGGTTCAAGGCACTGGTAGAAAGAAAGCGGGCGGAGCGAAAGGCTCGCGAGGCCGAGGAGGAACGCAAGAAGGCTGCTCGAATGGCTGGTCAAGCAGAGTTGATGCAGGACGAGTCTGAGGACGACGTATCTGACATCACCGACGATGAAGGTGGCCGCAAGCTGACTCAAGAGGTGAAGCGCCCTGCTGCTAGGAAAGCTAGCAAGAAGGCATTGGAAGAAATGAACCGGGAGACCCAGCGCATGAGCCGTGCCCTGCAGCTTGCTCATGAAGCTAAGACGAAGAAGAAGATCACGAAGGCATCGCTCTTCGAACGATTCAACTTCAAGCCGGAAAAGCCCGAGGGTGTTACTATGAAGGAGCCCACAACCAGCTCGAGCAGACCGGCAACTCCGACTTCATCGACTCATACAGATACGGAGATGAAGGATGCAGACACACCACCGAGCTCTCCACCAGCTCGAGTAGAGCATGTCTTGGGGAAGACACAAACTACAGCACCGTCCACCGGAGTGCAGCAGATGGATACAAATGCACAGCTGACCAGCCGCCCGGACATTGAGGGTGATGACCCGCCAACCATAGAAGAATTTCTGGCGACCTCATCGTCTAGGAAACAAGAGAAGAGCACAACCCCCACTCAAATCACAGAACCTGCCAAGGACAAGAAGCCGATAACAACAAAGCGAAATATTCGCGTGAAGCTTCCAGCCATCAAGGCGAACTTGGTTACCATCGAGTCAGACGAGGAGTTGGTCATCACGGAAACCAAGAAGAGTAAAATTGACGCTATATTTGATCGCATCCCCGAGAAGAAAGCAAAGGAATCTAACTCGATCCATGCTTTGAGACGCTTGGCCCACATCGACTCGCCCGAGAAGAAGCCTAATAGAAAGGTCACCAAGTCCGCCATGACTGCTGGCGAACTTCAAGCTCAGCTACAGCAACGTGCCCGCCAGCAGGCCAAGCTTGAGCGAGACAGGCGGCTCGAGATGCTGAAAGCAAAGGGCATCCATATCCAGACCGAGGAGGAACGTGAGCGTGAGATGGCTCAGGTCGAGGATATTGTTGCTCGTGCCCGGCATGAAGCCGAGGAGATTATGCAGCGAGAGCGAGAAGCTGCCAAGAAAGCGAAGAAGGAGTCCGGCGAGGCCGATCCATTGGCCTGGGACGACAGCGACGACAGCGACTTCGCTGGAGATGCGCCAGAAGAGCCTTCTGAAATAGAACTCTCCGGTTCTGAGGAAGAGGTCGATGACATCAGAGCTGGAAACAGCGGCTCCGAAGTGGAGGATCAGGAAGAGGAAGATGTGGTGGAGGATTCAACAAAGAAGAATCCCGGTGCCGCAATCATGTTCGACGAGGAAGCCGAGTCTAATGAGTCTGAAAGCGAAGATGACTGGGTAGATCCAGACGAGGAGGAGGAGCGAAACCGCTGGGGCGCTTCAGAGGATGAAGACGATACACATGATATCGCCACCAAGCCGAAGCCTCGCCGGTCCAAGAAACATGTCACTATCCTCTCTGATGATGAGGATAATGATGTCGAGTCTACACCAAAGCCCAAAACCCAGTACCCTCAATCTCCAGCAGTACCAAAGACGGATTCTCCCCAAGTTCCAACCTCAGTTCTCCGGTCAGCAACAAAGACCTTCATCCCTGGCCTGCCTGTCACTATGGGTGGACCGGCTGGCCTGGGTCTGACTCAAATCTTTGCTGGTACGATGGACGACAGCCAAGCTGACTCTGCTGGTGGTTCGCCCATGGAGTTTATGCCAACCTTTGACAGCTTTCCAGAAACTCAAGTGTCCCAGGTTGCTGAGAATGATATGATCTACGACAGTCAACCTCAAGGCACGCAGAATGAGAGCCAAGGCATTCACCTTGACATCACTCAGTCACAAGAGCATGGATTTGACAGTATATTAAATGACCTCAGAGGAACACAGACTTCAGATATGCTGGAGCCATCTCAAGATGCAGGCTTCCAAAACTACACTCCTTTGAAGGAGAGGTTTGTGGAGGCTCCACACTCCACTATCGATACTGTTGTCTTGAATTCTACGCAACCTACCCAGCCTCATAACGAGGAGCATGATTCTCCTCTTGTCCAGAGGAAAGGCCGACTTCGTAGAAAGATCGCTCAGGCGCCAGAATCCGATGACGATGTTGATGACAACAACATGGCCATTGAAGAGGATGAGTTTGGCTTTGGCACAACAAATGCCTTCGATACATTGAAGGATGCCGCAATCAGAGAGAAGAAGAGAAAGGCCCGGCATGACTTCGACAAGAAGAAGAGCAAGGCCAAGGAGATGGTAGAGGACCAGGCTGAGGAGTCTGAGGATGAATATGCTGGTCTCGGTGGAGCCGATGGCGAGGATAGCGATAACGAGAGCGCTGCCTCTGTTCACGAGATGATTGACGACAACACTCAGGCAAATGGGTTGGATGATGCGAAACTCGCCGCTTTCTATGCGTAAGTCGCAGGTACAATGCAGTACATATGGTTTCTTGCTAACGGCGCTCTACAGTGATCGTGAAAGAGCAAACGACGAGAAACAAGTCGAGAAGCTCTTCCGAGACATTACTAGTGGTATGCTCCGTAGGAAGCGTGGAGCTGACTACGATTTATCCGACTCGGATGACGGCGGTGAAGCTCGACGACGCATGAAGCGAAGACAATTCGCAAAGATGCAGAAAGCTCTCTTTGCAGACGAACGTATCTCTAAAGTCGCTGAGAATCCGCGCAACCAAGCATTTATGAAGACAATCGAGGATCTTGGTAGCGATGATGACATGGACTTCCTCTTTGAACCACCTGCGCCACCTCAAAGCCAGGATTCACAATCACAAGAGCCGCAGACTGTCCCAGACAGCCAGCCGGTTGCAGCACGCCAACCCCTAGCGCCAGCAAAGGCTGTCAATCGACCTCCTGCTGCAGCGCGCCGGACCAAGAATGGAAAGAAGCCGTCCAACATTGGTGAAATTCGCGAGTCACTGTCGAACCTCCTGGAAGAGCCGAGCCTTAACACGGTCATCTCAGCCACAGACTTAGGATCTGATAGTGATGATGCGGATGATGAGGACCAGAACGCTCGTGGCAGCAACAAGGAGAACAATGCTCCCCAGAACCCACGTCGTACAAACACAGCCATTGTCGACCGCATCAGCCTCAAGCGTCAAGGTTCGAGCTCGGTTTCTACAGCCAGCGCAGGGGGCCGGATGGCGTTTGCCGCTCCGTCTACCACTGGTGGTTCCTTCAAGGTGCCGGCTCTACTAAGACGGGCTACTACGAATTCCCTTATGAGCAGCTCTAGTTCTAGCTCGGGCGGTAACGGTCATGCTGCTGGCGCCAGTGGTTTTGGCGAGGAGGCCAAGATCAAGAAGAGCGCTGGCAAACGCTCAGGAATCAACTACTTTGCAAGGGAGAATGAGCGGAGAGCCGCCATGGAGGAGAGTGCGAAGCGCAGAGAGGCGAAGAAGTTCAAGGGCGCGGAAGGAAGAGTCAAGGTTGTTGGTGGTTTGTTTGGAGCAGGCAAGTTCGAGTGATGGCGTGAATGAATGTCTTTGTTTTCTTGTTGGAGTAATATCTGGTCGGTCTGGCGTTAAGGGACATAATGATCTGGTATAAGGGTTTTACAGATCAATAGTTGTACTTTCTATGATTTCAGAGCCGGTGGATAACCATTTTGAGACCAGTGGTTCAATCCATTGCTTTACCGAAAGCTGCTGTGTTCTTTTTGTTTTCTTTGTAAAAGTTGTAAGCGGTTGAAGCGGTTCGTGGTTGTTGTGATATGGCGACGGTCCGTGCGAAGCCGGCGTTGATGGCTCGTCTCGCTTAAGCAGGTCCAGCACGAGTCGTGAATTTGGCCGACTTCCCTTCCTTGAATTGAAATGACTATCTATTACAAGCCCTCCACTACCATGAGACTCGTGATTGAGAGATCTGCAACAACATCACCGATGGCGTGCTAGTCTGCTCTTCGACATATTTCGAGCGCCTCCGTTGTCGTACGGTTTTACCGAATCTACACCAGCTGGATCTGGATCTCGAGAGGCCGGGCTGGAGGAAGGACAGTAGCAGTACCTGGCTGCATCTCGCACCCCAGTCCCGGCAAAAGGCCGCTGTTGGCTCTTCACCGCCAGGTACCCTTATCTCACCTACAAGCTCAGGCGACATGAATTAACGGGAGCAAGCCAGTCTCGAGCCAGTCAATTATGGCTCCACCACCTGCAGTTCGTACCTGTGTAATCGCCACAAGACATATATGACTAGGAGATCTGACATTGCCGATTCAGACACCAGCGCAGCCTCGTTTCCTGCTCTCCAAGCGTCAAGTGACAAAAGCCGAGAAGCAAACCCCTGCTCACACGCAGAACGGACCGCAGCAGTTCAGCTCAACGCCTCGGTTCTCTGCGTCATCCACACCGCGACAAACAGCTAATCAGCCACCCCCGTTCTCAACTCCTGCACCCTCAGCTGCCAAGTACCGACAGTTCCGGGGTCACGCTACGAGTGACATTATTGATAGTTCTCCACAGTCCTCTGAGTTGGTTCATGACGAGGAAGAGCATGATCTCCATGGATCCATCGAAGGCGACTCGCCCAATCCGTCTTTCTGGTTACAGACTGACGGTGGTGAAAGAAGTCCCAAACGTCGACGCATATCAATTTCACCGGGCTTAGATGTCAGTTCTCAGCCAGCCGTAGAAGACGAAGAAGATGACGATGCTGTGATCGAAGCTGAGGATGAACTCGACCGGGTTTCTGAAGAAGATTCACAAGAGAACTCAGAATCCCTGATTGGTTCACATGAGTTACCTAGGAAGCTGGCCTCTGGATCTCCTGAACCAGCGAGTCGGGCCCAACCGAGTTTTCAGAGAGCTCCTCGTTTTAAAGCTACGGAACTTCCAGACGATGATTCGCAGTATCAACTTCCAGATGCCTTTTCTCCCCAGCGTCGAGGGGCCAAGTACGTATCAGACGGCCTCGCTGCGGAAGTCCGTGACTGGCTAGTGCAAGTCAAGGGGAGTACGGATTACGACCGATCTGGAGGACTGAATGTGCGGCTCTTGGTTGAAGCAGTCAATCCGGCACCTGGAATGTGGCTTATAGCTGCGCGACGAGTCCGCGATCATGGCATAGATCAGAATTCCACCGTCGTAAAGGCTATCTTGGCTGGTAAAGGACGTATCACCGGCTTGAACTCTCCCAGTGCAGTAACCCCAGGGTCCATGATAGACATCTCACAGCCTGCTTGGGATGTTCTTCTACAAAATCACGATAGATGGGCCGTGGCCTGCGACTGGGAAGTTGTTGAGCCCGAGGCTAAATCCCAACTGGTGTTGAGTGATTCTCTCAAAATCGCGATCTGAGTCTGGACTATCGATGAAGTCCGATCTCTCCAGAGCGTGTATCTATGCCTCTACATCTCACTCGAAATGCTCGGCAACTTGCTTTTTGTAGGGGTACGTGCGTATCATTTTCCCTTGTCACGAGTTACAGCTTCATTTCCAATCTTTCACTAAGACCCTTGCAATGGACCAACGGCTCGATCCGCCAGGGTCTGAGCACCGAAGCCCCCACACAACCAATATTCTCAGATTGTCATATCACTTCTCTTTCCGTCATAGCTGTACAATTACCTTGAAATGAGTCTGATCGTTTGTAGCGCCATCAAATGTCCTACGAAACTTCTCCTGTTGCATCAACGCTGGAGCCGCAGGAGATCTCGGGCACATGCCACGACCGTCTATTCGATAGGCCAACGTCGCCCGCCACAATGACTACTACTTTACTTACCCCTGCTAGATGTGACCTGCATGAGCAATTAAGGCGCTATTCACCAAGCAATTGGCCTAGACAGCGGTGGCCCTTGCCTTGTAAACAACTCGAGGCCCTCGGAATATATATACTCTATGCTAACTAGCGAGATGCCTGAAAAACAGTTGCAAGTCCCTTCTATCTTTAACATCGAGTCACCATTTCCAAAGGCCGTCTCTGCGCTGGTTGTATTTGTATGATACAGGTTCCATCGCGACCGCCACTTTGTCATATATCCGTACTTCGCTATGTAATTCAGTGTCTCACGATCCAACTCATCAGTCACACCAGTGTGTATCTTCTTATAAGAACGTCGCCCCATACCCACTTGTCGAGACTGTCTCGCCTATTCTCTTGACCTCAATCTGTCAGGCATGGAGCTGCTCAACATCTTGAGCGATAAACGCATGGCACAGCCGACAGACAACTCAATGCCCACCATGAAGGTCATTGCAGCGGGTCTACCTCGATGTGCAACAACGTCGTTACAAGCCGCCCTAGAATCCCCATTTCTAGATATAGCCCCTTGTATGCATGGAAAGCAAATCTTCCCGAGGGCAGACCGCATGATGCTCGTTCTTACGGCTATGAGAGAAGCAGACACAACCCGCCGGCGGGAAATCCTCCACCAACTATTTGATGGTTACGCGGCAACTGTCGATATACCTGGCATATTCTTTGTCGACGACCTAATGGACATGTATCCAGATGCCTCTGTCATTCTCAATGTGAGACCAGGACCACAAGATAGAAGGGCAGCATCGTGGGCCAAGTCTATCCGGGATGCTCTCTCGTTCTTTACAACTTGGCGATATCTCCTCAACAACGGACTTCTGAAAATATCACGGTTACACTGGCGGATGCATCGCGAGATCTATCATATGTTCTCAAATCACTCAAGGATTCAACTGCTGGAGGGGGGCGGGTCTGGTGCGGATTGGATGACCCCCGAGTTCTACGAAAGATACAATGCCTGGGTCCGCGCTGAAGCAGCAAAGAGAGGGCGCAAAGTTCTCGAGTTCGACCCTACGATGGGCTGGGGTCCGCTTTGCGAGTTTCTGGGCAGGAATGAGAAGGCTGTTACTCCCCACGAACCCTTCCCTCACAGAAACGATGCTCAGCAAGTCGCAGTCATCAAACGACAAGTGATTACCTTGGGCTTGCTTCTATGGGCTGGCGCTATCGTTTCAGTGGTGCTGTTATTCCACATGGCTCTTCTGGTTTTCAACTTTGCCTCCCCTTTCGCTAAAGCACAGTGATTGGTTTCTGGTCGACTGGCATCAGCCGGATCAGTCAACGATTTAGCATTACTCGGCACACATTCCTGTACGGCGCTCTCCATCTGCATAGCATCTCGTTTTTTTTGACCAGGACATAGAGGTTTCGGCATAGACAAGTATATTTATGAAAAACGGGGGTCTCACGTGGATAGAGCAACAATGCGCCAGTGTTATGGTTTAGAATCTTTTATATGTTCAATTTTGTTGCCTACATGCCCTGACTTTTGTGACGATAGTACATCCAAGCCACTCAAGGCTAGTCTTACCATGATGATCCGAGGCCCTTCTCAATCTCCGCAAATATGCCAACGCCCTTGAGGCCCAGGCCAGTACCGACGCCAACAACAGATGCGCCCACGCCCTTCATCCTCCTGTACCCATCTGCGTCCAGAACTCCGCCGATTCCAATGACCTGGATGTGCCCGAGAGCGTCCTTGTTCTCGTCAAGCATCTTCCGAATTGTCAAGACATTCCCAAGAGCCAGGGGATGCAGCGGGGCACCGGCCATACCGCCGATCCCGGTGCCTGGGAGCACTGGCTGGACGGAGGAGGACCCGTCGGGAGGCGATATCACTACACAAGACCCGAGAGTATTTGTCGCTGTGATGAATGACACGGGACAGATCCCGCTAGAATCGGCGGCAGCGGATTCAACCAAGGCGCCAATCAGCGCTGTGTACTCGGTTGACTGAGTGTAGGGCGGCGTCTTGAGGCCGAAGGGAATGCGGGTCAGACTCGCATCGGAGGCGACCTCCTTCAGAGCGAGTAGGTAGTCCAGCAGGGCCTTCCCGTTGTACGCCGGGGGAGGTTTCCCGGGGATATTGGGACAGCTGAGGTTGATCTCCATGGCCAGGGGGAAGGGCACCTCTGCCTGAGCTGATGAGATGAGCTTGTAGCACCCGACGACATCCTCGGGGCTGCCAGTCACGGAGACGAGGAAGCCTTTCTTCGTCGGGGCATCACTAGGTAGCTTCCCAGCAATGGTCTTGATGAAGCCTAGATAGGCCTCAAGATTGTGGGGGCTGTACCCCAAATTATTGAGACTCGCGCTCTCCAGACCACTTAGACGGGTCTGGTCTTGCTCAGATTTATGCGTTGCAGTATCGTATAGGAGATACTGGTGCTTTGCAGGGTCATGAGGAAAGCCATTGATCAAGGATGTCCTGGTTGTGACAGCTCCGGTTGCGGAACAGTCATAAAGAGCTTGCAAGTCATCGACGGTAGTGGCCCATGGGTTGGCAGAGTTGATTAGGGGAGGGACGATGTCGAGGCTTGGAGGAGGGGCCATTATGTCTATGCTACCGTTCAGGCATGAATTCGATATTGACAATAGCAAGCTTCGCCTTGGGATTTCTTCACGGAGGACATATTAGTCGTTGAAGTCAATGGGAAAAGTAAAGGGGCCACTATAAGAGAGGAGATAGATGTGGTACGTTGCGGGGTTCCCCGAGATAAGATAAGAAGGCAGTCACTCCGTATCATGTAATGGCTATCAACGCGAGCGAATTTTCACAGATCTTGGCTCACGAACTAAGAGACTCAAAAGGAATAGAGTGATGGAGAAAAAGGCTTCTTACTGACGCCCAATTCATTAGCACGAGCCCCGTAGCAATCGTTATCTTAGAATAAATCATCAATTGCCTTGTCGGCATCCTTCTTGATCAATTCCTTCATGCCCTTAGGGGTGGTTAGCATGCAAACCCACGAAGAGGGCCATAAAGACTGCTTGAACATACCTCTGGCATGATAGGTTGACCATCTTTGTCCTTGACGTAGCGAAATGGCATTTGAGTGCTCTCATGCTCATTGAACTTCAGCTCGGGAAAGTCTACATATGGTACCTCCTTCAAGGGAACTATAAATATACGTCAGTAGGTGATTGATGAAAATAAGATTTATCAGGCGGCCTACTTTGCTCTTGAATGACCTTTCGCGTTACTCTTACAGCTGTATCCGTCGTCATTTGGACCGGCCCGAGGCGTCGTCCGGGAAAGCCTTTTTTCCTCAATTCTGAGGTTCGGTCTAGACGAAGAAAGTCAGAAGGTGCTTAAGAAAATGTGTGATTAGTTCATACCCCTTGGAGGATCATCTCCTAAAATCCGTGTATTAGCCACCGATCAATTGCTGATTAACATCTGGTACATGGGCCATGGACCATGGGCAACCTACCAAGAATGCCGCCAAAGAGGAATGTGCCAAATTCATTGGCATCCTCTGGTGAAAGGTCCTTCGCCGCCTGTGGGTCAAGAAGGCAAACGGTATCCTTGTTTGCAGCATACATGTCCTCGACACTCCGTGATGTTGCCTTGAAGACGGGCACGGCCTTGAGAGATTCTGGGGCCTGAAACGTGGGCGGTAGTGACGAGAGCGTGAAGCTACTGCCGGATGCCTCCGACTCCTTTGCAATTGCTATATACTCGAGCTCTGACCATGGCCCGAGCTCTTCGTCGAGATGCTCGACAATGTAGACCTTGCCGCCGGTATTGGCCATGATGGTCGTTTGCTGGTGAATTTTTTGACAATCACCGCAAATCAAGCCACAGCCTCGTAAACGGTTCTGCCGGGCGAGGAGGGTGACTAAGCGAGACTATGTTGAGGTGGTGATTTTGGAAATTGGTCACTGGCTTGCCGATATTGAATTTTACAGTATGCGGAGTTTTGATATTGAGGCGCCGTGTCTGGCCAGGATGGAAAAGTGAGGAGTGGGTGCCGACCGCCCGGTCTGGCAGCCCGTTCTTGGCACACCCCGTCCGCCTTCCGTCTTCGCCACGGGCCAATGACACGACACGGACATCATCCAGGGCTAAGGGCTTCCAAGCAAACGAAAATACAAACGGTTCCTGTGGTATTGTCATTTTATTTGAAGTAGGTACGCAACCAGTCCAGTTCCCTGAAACAGATTCTCACTCGCTGCAATATCCGCTACGGTGGAATGGTTGAGTGTAAGCGCAGATCGGGTTTCTCAACGAGTCTCGAGAACAAAGTGATACCTGGAAGTCGTCGTTCACGCCCCCGTCTACGACCCTCGTTGACTGCACCCTGACGCGTATCTCGGAGAGCAATGCCCAATGAAGATCGGGCAACAGCACAGGTGAACTCTAATTTTGGGACAGTGGGCGGTCCCTTGTTCGTCCCATCTGTCGCACCCCGGGCCAGGGGCTTGGCAAATGAGTTTGACGCTGCGATCTTATGAAACTCCGCTGAAAAAGAAGGGATCTCGGATGCGTTTTGTCTTTGGACCCTTGTAGACAACCTACCTAGTGATTGCTGCACTGCACGCTGAGGAGGGCCGGGTACAGCATGCGAGAGAGAGGGAGACCTATCAAACATCTCGGGACTCTACCTACTCATAGCTCATTGTAGGGCATGTTAATCAAACAAGCAATAGTTTCCCTTACTCGAGCGCAGGGTTCAAGGAGGCATTTTATGTAGCGAGCTAGGTAGGTAGCCAACTATCTGGTCTCGAGCTGGCCTAGTAGTAGTAGGTAGGTAGGTATTGGGACGATGCTGGGCCACGCAAGCCGCTTGCGGTTTCTGGGGCCTCCCTCCCCACTCGCCCTCTCTTCCTCTTCCTTCACGGTGCCGGTAGTGAAGTAGTGAAGCCTGCCCTGCCCCTGTCGTTCGCTACAGCCCATTCCAGAGCCCAGACCATCCTAACTGGTCGGGAGGGCCAGCCTAAAATCTGCGGAGATAATTGAATAGATGCTAACCTCCTAACCTACCACCTAGACTAGA